AATAACTTAATAATTCATCTACATGAATTAATTGCTATCCCCTGAACTCATCGTACACATTTTTAAGTGTGAAAATCAAGCAATACAGTCCCAGTCAGTAATTTTGTTTCATTCGATTTTATTTCCCATACAATAACAATGTTTAAATAAAAAACAATTACTTGTATTTGTTATGTAAACACAGGCAACGACCAATGTCGTTGCTAGGGTGTGTAAAAATCTAATTATGACTAGTTCACTCATCGAATCATTTGATTGGTTGTATGATCTATGTAGAGTATTACAATATTCCTAAGGGAATTCATCATGTATAGAGAAATTCCAGTGCTTAGAAATTGTGAATTCAGTTGAATCACATAACGTCTGTTTCTCTGATACTACTATTGAATTTATTAGCCTATTTATGGATTTTTTTTCTTGTTGCTGTTTTATCACCAATAATAATAATCAATTTCTCAGTTCATCGATTGACTTGGTGTTTGAAATTAGTCACTGAGATCTGACTTCTCTACGACATACACGAAAATCCAAAGCGAATCCTCAGGATTGCATTGCATTGCATCAAAAAAACCTAAATTTTACCACCAGTGGCTTAATGGTATACGAGATTACTCGCCTTGTAACCAGATGGTCCTGGATTCCAACCCCCTAAGGTGGGTGCACACTACTGAAGAGCACCAAACTAGGACGAAACAGTTTTCCAGTACTCCCAGGTTTCCCAGAGGTTCTCTAACTAATGTCAGCTTATGATGAAATCCTGTAACCAATGAAATCTCTACAAACAAACACTTGAACGTTTTATCAAACGGCACAAATGATTTCGTATTTCAAAGTATGTAAAACAAACAGGTGATGTTTAACAATTCATCAAGATACTTGAAAACCATTTTACAATGGAATTTTGGTAACGAACCTCACCAAATAAATAAAAAAATCACCCAACGAATGAATTTACAGAAGGAAATGCAGATGGATTGGATATAGGCTAAAGAGATCCTGAGTGATATCACACGTTACGCGCTGGAGTAGAACCCTTGTGGGCAAATACATGCTGGATCACCAGATACATACATATATATATATATATATATATATATGAATGTATACTATCAGTTTCACTTGAAGTCTCGTATAGAAGCATGGATTATTTTTAGAAACAAATGTCTAGCTACACATTAATACATATCACTTGTCTTTGCATCCACAATAATACTATAAAAAGTCTTAGCATGTATGTTGAAATTACTTCCACATCATAAATTATTATTATTTCCTTTAATTCCTAGAGGAACATAGGGCTACAGTTGCGCGTCTCCATTGCGTCCGGTTCTCTGCCAACTTTCTCACCCTTTTGATCTTTGATCAATACATGTTTTGTTTCCCCTGAATCCGGTCGAAGTTTTTCATCCAGGTTGGCTTGTTTGATTCTCTCCAGGATGATGCGCCTTAGTATTTTGCTTGGAATCAACAGAAGCATAATTCCGGCCAGTTTTTACATTGACTTAAGTCTCCTTTCTTTGGTAGTTTGAATAAGTATCTTTTCTTTCAATCCTCGGGTACTTTACCCTCTTTCCACACCTTCTCTAGTAGTGGTGTCATCAAACACAAACATACATACAGAAGTAAATCACAACAAACAGAATACAATGTGAAACAACTCTACATTACATCATGTATATTTTCTATTTTCTTTTTTCAACGCTTTAGTTATCAAAAAAATTTACAAAACAAAACGTATATTGAATAATAATGGTAATAATAATAGTAATAATTGTTGCTGTACTGTAGTAGTAGTAGTAGTAGTAGTAAAAAAAAAGGAGAACACAACACAGTTGCATAACTTTTTAGTTCAACTTTGCTTCAAATAGAATTTCTTTTTAGACGACTTTTACTCAAATTCATTATCTAATAATATTTTTCTGTAAAAAACCAAAAAAAAACAGACAAAAAGTAAAATATTAAGGGGAAAACAAACACATGCTGATAAGAGGGAAGGGAAGGGTGGAGAGCGAGGAAGGTTCTTAAAAAAGAAAGAAAGAAAACAAAGGAATATTCGCCTAATATTTTATTATTTTTGTTTACTAATTATAGTAACAAAAACTAAATAAAAGTAAGTAACACCTGAAAGAAATAAAAATTGAATATGCTTTTGTTCTATAAAAGGAAAAACAAACAATTTTTATTCTCCGTGGAAAATATACACACACACACACACGCGTTAAGTCTGTCTGTTTGGTTCAACTCTCCGTGCAAATAGTGGAGCAACGTGAATACTTGAGCAAATTTATTTACTACATCAGAACCCCTCCCCCACTCAGTCATCCATACACATACACACACACGAACACTGAGGTATGTATACACACACAACACATGTACACAAAACACACGGATACATACATAAATACATACATACTCGAAGAAAAACTGGTGATCAAAATGAAATATACTATCAAAAGAGGTTATCAAGTGAGGTGTGTGTGAGTATATGTGTAGTGGTAGTAGTAGTAGTGGACCAAACTAAATAGGATGACTCAATCAATAATGATAATAATATCTAATGATATCTTTCACAATGTGTGTACTCTATACACTATATTATTATTATTATTATTACTATTATTGTATGTTTCATTCAGTCTGTGAATGAATCAATGAATAAAACCTAAAGTAGAGTAGAGTAAACCTTCTTCTTTTGCTTTTTTTTATTGTTTTTCTTAAAAATAATGATAATAAAAAGACATTTTTTACCTTCCCAGCTGAAAGACTCTTGATGCCAATGCATGTGTGATGGTGTCCATGAACGGATGCCGAACATTTAACATGAACGGTGTTTGATTTCTATCTCTTTGTTTCTGTCGCTCTTCTAAACAGCAAAACCATGAGTATAAGAACTGTGTGTGTATGTATGTATATATACAATATACAATAATTATATTATATTAATATAATGGGAATAGAAGGTAAAGACGATAGAGAGACTGGGTAGGGGGTGGGTGGGTGAGAGGAGCAGGATTGTATGATAATAATAAACACTTTGAATAAACAGGGGCAGGGGGGGGTAAAATGAAATATATGTATGTATATGAATGTATACATCATCATAATCTATAATTATAACCTATTATTTCTATATCTCAATGATAATAATAATAATAATAATGACAATAGCGATAGGAAACTCATTGTGGAATTGTTTATTAAAATTAAGAAACACACATATATATGCATATATATATGCCATTAGTAATTGTAATAATAAGGCGCTTTGGTGAAGAATAAAACAAATTTGTGTTGTAGACAACTCGTATGAGTGTAAAAATATTGGGAGGGGGGAGCTTGGAGGTGGAGCGAGGGGACTAGCAACAATCAATAAAAACAACAACAACAACAATAATAATAATAATAAACGATATCAACTAGAGCAAAACAAGGAAATGAAAATTAAGGAAGACATATGCAGATGAATTGCTGTAGGCGGCAGGTGAATAAAATATATAGACACATTGAGCAATAAATCAAATATTAGTAGTAATAATAATATTATTATTAATCATATACTTTAGTTTAAAAAACCGCGTAAATACGCAACAAATCGATAAGAATGCCATGAAGAACGGAGATGAAACACATAAAATAACATAATTAAAGCGTCTATATATATAAAAACCAAACTGAACGAAAGACAAACAAAACAAAAACAGAGATACAGAACAACATATTAGTGAAATAAATAAACAAACAAACAAACTGCAAAGATATCTATTTCATATATATTTAAACAACAATTGTCAAAACAATGAGACCTGAGTTCTCTTTTAAAATGATGACACGACGAATATTAACCCTCTCTACCCACCCCACCCCGTTCCAAGAGAAAAAAATTAGGTGTTTAATATTCAATATTAGAAAAACAAAACGTAAACAAGAAAAACAATATCAACTTGGTTCTCGACATAAAGTAAGGGTAATTGTACAATGAACAAATTAAGTGAAAAAAAGAAGAAAGACCTCCAACACTTCCTCCCCCCATCCGCCCACGCCCACCTACCTCCTAACCACTCACTCACTCACTCACTCGCACTCTTCATATTAAATTCCTAATGATTAGAGTAAAAACTATTTTTTGGAAGAGCAGTAAGGAGAAAAAAGTGTACATATGCTAGAATACTGATGAAATGAATAATTTTACAAGAAGAAGGAGGGAGACGGACCTGTGTGTAAACTACACACATACAGAAATTTAAAAGAAAAACAAAACTTTCTAGTTGTTTCAAGAATATTACTCTTCAGTGAAGATGATTCACTTGGAAGGCGAGGGGAATTAACGAAGGATAAAACCAAAAATCTGAAAAAAGTCTTTTTCCTCCTTTTTCTTCTTCTTCAAGGGATTGGATAATAAACACACCAATGAAAAAACAACACAATGATGTGTTCTCGTGAAGGGAATACCAATACAACACAAAAAGGCATTCGGTGTGTTTAACCTCACTTAGAATTCTTAAACAAGAAGAAGGGGGAAAGTAATGATAGTGTTGAAAGAGTCATTACATAATTTTAAGATAAGCATATGTAGAAAAAAAAACACTCACTCCAAACAGGATTTTACAATGCATATATCTTTGTATATGTATTATATGTGTATATTTCACATATTACAAAAGTTTAAACTATTTGCACAGCCGTAGAAAAATAAACAGGAAAGTGAAATCGCCTGTTTATAATGCACATTCAAACGACGACGGAATGCATATCGCATTGATCTTTTTACAAACACAAAAAAATGAGGACAATAAGACGCGTGTATATGATGGTGTGAGCATTTGGAGAATAGAAGACTATGTATATATGAGGACTATGCAAAAATAATAATAATAGTAATCGCAAACATTTCTTTTCTTGTTGATGTAATCCATAACTTGATGAATTGATTGTATGTGAATATTATACATATATACGCATGCACGCATCCGTTTAATACTTCCTAATTACAATTGATCTCAAGTGAAACGACTTTGACTTAAAGCAGCAGCATAATGAGGCGATAGGACAGCATCTTCATCATGATAATCCACATTGACATCTTCATCGTCAACATCTCCACCATCACTATCCTCCGACGTATTTACATCACCTGGAAGAGTGTTGTTAAACAGTAATAACCATGTAGGAGTGGCTGGTTGTGCAATAGCTGCATTTTGTGGTGGTCGAAACTCACGTAAATAATCGATAACAGTTCGAGCATTTGCTAATCCTGTCAAATAGGGTATTAAATCGGATAAAGCTTGATCTCCGGTATCACCAAACCATGAAACAATTTGCAACTAGAAAAACAAAATTCGAAAGAACGCAGAAAACAGAGAGATGTAAACACAATTATCAATCCTAGAAGGTATTTGTTTGATAAACACTTATTAGCTGGAAAATGTTGAAAAACCACAGGAAGTCAACAGGGTCAGGTAAAGACATCTGTGAAACTGGTTTTAAAAAGACGTATAGAATCAATTACTACACATAGTGTGGGGGAAAAAAAGGAAGGGAAATCAGTCGATCAGGTTGTGAAGTTACACCTACTGAGATAATTAGGAAATGTGTCACACATGCACGCCTATTCATCACCTTCTACGACCGAAAGGCGGTGGATCAGGTTGGAAAAGAGTTGGCTAGTGCTAGCCAAACCAAAACATGACTTCATCAGTGAATGAAATCCACAACAGTTAGTTTAAGCCAGCCACGTAGGAAAGTGTAGACTTCCTGGTTGGGGTCCTCGGGACGGTAAAAACCATTGGAAGCTGGAAACAATTAGTGATATGGCTCAAATTCATCGTTCTCAATGGCTAGCGCAGATGCATCCACTCCATGTGACTTATCATTTCCAATGAAACTATATTGTTCTTTGCTATTACTATTCCTTTATCTCACAACTCTGCTTAGTGTCTCTATTATGTATTTCTTCTACTTTCTTCTGTGGCTTTGTGTTCTATATGGTGGGAGTGTGGCGACTTGAACTAGTGCACCTCGGTGCAAAGTTCTATGTCAAAAACAGAGAGACAGACAGAACTCTAATGCAAGGCTATTAAAGTTGAAAAAAGCACTTTGGACTCATTACACGTATCGTAAAGTATGTGCACATAAAACAATTGACTTCAATCTTTGTGTACTATGGACCAATCAACCTATTCAAACGTGATTGGTTGGTAGTATGTACTTTTGTTTCATATAGCTGAGTAATTGTCATATATATTTTGTTTTATTGTCATTAACCATGTTAGTTGTAAAACGTTCGTAAAGAAACTACAAGGTGATATCATCTCAGAACATTTGTCTTCCTAATGCCTTATTTAAAACTGATACCACTATGCTACCTCCTCTCTCTGTCACTCACTTTTGTCATCCCATTATCATGCAAGTGAAACACAGGATTCCAGGCTTGAGGTGTGAAATTTTGGTGGCAGTGGTATTGTTTTTACGGTGTGTGTCGGTGGCACAGTCGTTAGGGCTCTCGCCGACCATGCACATGGGGTCCGAGGTTCGATCCCCAGCCGACGCACACCTGATATCTATGGTCGGCCTGCAAAATTTGGGCTACCGATATCACATGCTGAAAATTCCATACTTGTACCAAAAATACAGTGTGGAATCAAGCTGTTATCAAAAATAAGTTACCAGTCACACGCCAAACCTTCCTTCTTTTATGAGTTTTATCACCGCCTAAAGGAGGTTTCGAAATGCGTCAGTCTGGAGTTGAAACCGGATCACTGACGTTAATCACTGATGTGTATTTTACCATTAAACCACAGACGCACAATAGCATAAAGATGCACCCACTCACTAGAATTATTATACACTAGTTTTCAGAACAATATAAGTTACTCATAGCAGCCTTTCGCAAAACCAGAACTGCTTCTAGTATTATTCTGTAGCGCGACGACTCGAAAGCCCTATCCATCGCCCCTTCTTTTGCGTATGTCAGAAGGCAATCACTAGCACCGACGACGTATTTGAGTAAATTATGTGTCATTAGAAAGGAACAGGACCAAAACGACTGACAGGTTTTCGAATAACAGAAATGCATAAAAGTAAACTAAAAAACATGATTTTTCTCCCGTTTATTTATTTATGAAACCAAGAGAAAATTCCAAAAACATAAAATGGCCTATTATAATGATAAGCAGAATTACTTAGTTAATTTTAAAACTAAGTATCAAAGCCATGTCTGTTGTTTGTTTTTGACATAGAACTTTGCACATGTGTGCAGCAGTTCAAGTCGCCACACTCCTTCCTCCTTGTAGTACACAAAGCAACACAAGAAAGTAGGAGAAATGCATAATAGGGACACTAAACAGAGGTATGAGATAAAGGAATAGTAATAACGAAGAACAATATAGTTTCATTGGAAATGATAAGTCACATGGAGTGGATGCATCTGCGCTAGCCATTGAGAACGAGGATTTTGAGCCATATCACTAATTGTTTCCAGCTTCCAATGGTTTTTACCGTCCCGAGGACCCCAACCAAGAAGTCCACACCTTCCTACGTGACTGGCTTAAACTAACTGTTGTGGATTTCATTGACTGGTGCCATGTTTTGGTTTCATTGTCACTAGCCCTTTTCCAGCCTGACCCTATGTCAGCTAACATTGCCCGTCGGTCGAGAAAGGCGATGACTAGGCTTGCATGCGTAACACATGTCCTAACCATCTTAGTAGATGTAATTTCCCAGCCTCGTCGATTGATTTACCCTCCTAACTACCTTGCACTCACCTGAGGCGTAACCTCAATATTGCTCACTATATTATACCACTTCACCCGGGAGATAGAACGCACGCACCTATGATCGAAGACAGCTAATCTTTTCATGTCTTCCACTCTCAATGGCCAGGTCTCACAGCCAGCCATAAAGGAAGACGGAGCGAACTGGTGAGCAGCACCCTTTGGTCGATAGCCGGCCGGATATCACGTCTACTAAGCCAGAGACGGCGTAAACTGGCATATGCGAAACTAGCCCTCTGTATCCGTACCTAGCTGACATTTCGTCAGACAGCCACCTCTGTTGGCGTTGGTTGACGGTACTTCCCAAATAGGTGAAGCGGTCTACGTGTTGTATCACTTCACTCCCTATTTGTAAACTAGGAGTTAGTGTAGTCCTGTAACATCATCTTGCATTAGGCCATGTGATGGATACAGAATGGCGGAAACCCTTGCTCTGAGATATGACATAATGATTGAATATATATATATATATATAAACACACCTTGTGATAAAAACAAACCAATTGACTGCGAAGTGATTTGGAAGAGGTTTTAACACTATGGAGAGAGCAATGCTGAAAATTTTTATCAACTTCACTCAAGAGCTTTATATGCTGATGCCATACATCAAATAATCCACAACGGAAAAATTAGCGAAACCTTTGAAGTGAAGACAGGAATAATACAAGACTACCGACTATCACCAATTACATTCCTAATTGCAGTGGACTGAACCATGCAACAGACAGTGTGAGGGAAGCGTGAAGACGGGAATATGAACAGTCAATAAGGTTTTAGAAGATCTGGACTTCGTGAACAATTTGTATCTAATGTTGCACACAAACTCGAAGACTTACACAACAGGTGAAAACCGACAAATTGGCAGAAAAAGCAGCAGCAAAAACACAAGACTTCAAATAAACATAGAGAGAAGACAGAGGCGATGTAGACACCCAAACAGCCACAATAAGCAACCATCACTATCATCAGAATACATTTGAAAGATGTCACTTTCTGCACTCAGAGCTACGCGCAACACCCGTTTCACTACAGGCAAAACAGATGAGGATGTCAAAACCAGAATCGGAAAGCCAAGGCAGTGGAAATCTGCTATACTCAGCATAAGGAAAGAAACTCGCTATTTTCAACAGCAATGTTACGACACTTCTTCTGTACAGGTCAGAAACTTGGCGTGTGCATCATGGAAAGCCTTTCTAACAGGCTTTAAACTTTTATCTCTGTCCCGATACTGGAGATCAGATGATGGTCAACCAGAAAGGATAAGCAGGCAACAACGAACTCTGGGAACGGACTACTCAATAACTTATCGGACAACGAATATCCTGAAGAAAATGAGGATGGATGAACCAAACGTTGAGGAGATCGCTGACTGACACCACACGTAAGGCAAGTCGCCGACTAGAATCCGACTGGAACACGACGAGTGTGTGTTCGGGGGTGACACAGAGGAGATTATGTAAGAAGAAGATGAAGGCTTAAAGGCGATTGCGGAGCCAGTTAAAAAAGACCGAAGAGAATTGAGTGAAGTTAAGATGTGCCGTTGAAGTCCTCTGTTCCACTCGGGAATAATAATAACAATAAGAGAGATGTGAAAGAAAAATTATGCATTGCACTAATTGCACAGAATATTTCGGAAAGTGATGAGTTGGGCGGTCGAGGATATGAAACAGAGTTCATATGAAAAGCTTGTGGGCAGTCATACAGCCAGATGAAAGTGATGGCAAAGAATTGAGTGAAATGGAAATTCGCCACTGAAGCTCCCCATGAACGAATAAATACTACTAACAATTTGATATGTCCCAACAATCCTTTCCCAAAATGAATATAAGCAGCAGATGATGGCGAAGTAAAAATATATTCAGCCAATATTGATATCACTAAATGCTTAGATTGAACACAAATACACGTTATGGTAAATAAACATGCTTAAGTATTGGTTTGCAGGGATTTGATTGATTGTTTACAGGATTTCATCATGAACTGATATCGGTTAGAGAACCATTGAAAAACATGCAGTGATGAAATCATGTAACCAATCAATCAAATCTCTACAAGCTAATCCTTGAATATCATCATGAGATGCTCACTAGTGACTGACCCTATTCAACTAGATAGTTACCTGGGTTCCAGTGAGAAGTCGTGATAGTCAGTGAAGCCCAGCAGGTCTGGTGTGAAGACAACTACTCGCCACCGATGACACTGGCTAGTGGTCGCGCTATATCGTGAATTGTAAGAAGTTGGGATTTATGTACTGGCCATTGGGTTAGGTCCCAGTGGCTTAATGGTCTACAAGCCTGCTAGCCTTGTAACCAGAAGGTCCTGGGTTCTAACTCTGGAGGTGGATGCGTGCTGATGAAGAGTCCCAGACCAAGACGAAGCGGCTATCCAGTACTCCCTGCAGATTTTCTACTGGTTCTCTAACCAACAATCAGTTCATAGTGAAATCCTGTAACTAAGCATAATTAAGTCAGCTTATAAACGTAATCAACCACCAGTAGGCAATAAATAAATAAAAATCCATAATAAGTTTGGTGTGTATATTATTGTAATTCTAAAAATAAAAATTATTAAAAATTACACAAAAATACAGACAATTACTTACTGCATTACTTGGTTGAAATAGAAATGATATCGGTGAATTATCAACAATACAGATCTGTTCAACATCTCTGCCGAGACGGCTTAAATCTTTGATCAGATTACTTTGATGATCAACACAAGCTTCACGAAATAACCGATGACGAAAATATGACGCTGCATCAATATAATCGCATACAGGATCAGCGTACTAATAATTATGTGAAAAAAAAGAGAAAGAAAATAAGTTTTTTTTTTTCAACTTCTTTTTCGTCTTCCTCTTAAGAATCAGAAATAAAATTTCCAATTGGAAGAAGAAATATTTAAAAAATTAAGGAGTATAAGGTAAAAAATTTAACCAACGACGCATTCCAAGTCTTATCTCCTCCCCCTCCTCCTCTATGATTGACATTTAACGAAGGTGACTTTAGAAACCTGAAATAAACCGTAAGAAACAATCAGATGGATAGAGAGGGAGGGAGGGAGGGAGGGGAGAAGGCGAACACACACACGCACGCACGCAAGCACACACGAGAGGGAGGGAAAGAGAAACATTTTCATAATAACAATACTATATAACAGCAACGACAAATTGTAAGAGTAAAAGTGTGTAACGGTACTATTTTCGCCAACGACAACAACAACAACGAAAAAGTCACATGTCGTCAAAAGTTGATATAAAATAATGTGCATGCATAGCTGGACCGGTCTCTATCTGAAAAAAGAATATACATATATACATACATTCTTTTTTCAAAACGGAAAGCATGAGGTGCTTATTATTATTATAAGTTAAAAAGAAAGGCATACCATTTATTTGTTGAATAAGGTCATACCCGCACCAATTAGCAACAACAACAACAGAAAAGACAATAGCAATACATATTTCTCAGAATAAAAAGAAACTGAAAAATTTTTTTCTAGAGAAAATAAATAAATAGATGGTAGTTTTAGCTGTGTAGTTGGATGATTTTATCACACTGAGTATATAATTATATATATACACATATATACAGTAATAACTGTGAAATTACAATCTTGTATGATAATGCTGATGAGTTTAATATTAGACAGAGCATCATCATCATCTTTAGGGGAGGTAAGAAATAGTTTATTATGCTACTTTAAGGATAAACCAAGTATGAAGCGTAAAAGTTAACCAAGAAAATTTATGGTTTCTAAGATTTCACAACATTAACAGTTAATTCATGATTGTTATTATTATTGCTCCCTTAGGTTCCTAGTGGAACATAGGGCTTCAACTGCACGTCTCCACTTGATTCTGTCTTCTGCTTTGCTGTACTTTTCACCTGCATCCATGTTAGTCCATACTCTTCCAACTCCTCTTCACAAAATCTCCTCCATGTCACCCACCCTCGCACTGACGTCCCACTCGCCACTTGCTTCCCTTTCCGGTTCCACTCGAGGGTTTGATGCGCGATGTCACCCAGCGGTCTCCTCACGGAGTGTCTGATCCATCTCCACTCTCTCCTGCATATTTGTTGGGCGATTAATTGGTTCTTGTTTTGTTTTCTTTGTTCCCATAGTTGGCGATTCTTTCCGGCCTCGCCATTTGATCTTCAGTATAGAGCGAAGACAGTTGTTAATAAAGATCTGCAACCTTTTCGAAATATTCTTTGCTACCAGCTCGCCAAGTTTCTGATCCGTATAGAAGAACTGACTTTACCTTTGTATTGAAAACCCGACCGACCGAATCTTGTCGTTGATGATGGCTGAGTGACGAAGATTTCCAAATTGGTTTCAGGTTGATAAATAATGTGTTTCTCGCCTTCCCGATGATTCTCAACTTGACATCCTTGTCCGTTCCCCAACTGCCTGTAGTTCAGACAATGCCACCCCCCCCCCACCAGATAAGTGAATGAATGAAGTAACCTCTTTCAAATTCCTCCCGTTGATGGTGATTGGCGCTGGATGTTGTTGTTGGTTGGTTATTTTCATAACCTCCGTCTTGTCTATGTTCATCTGGAGTCCTGTCTTCGCTGGCTGCTTCTTCGACCAGTTTGTCGGTTTTCGCTCGCTTGTAAGTCTTCGATTTAGTGTGACATCAAACATAAATCATCCACTCGCGAAATCCAGGTCTTCTACATTCTTCGCATCAGTCCAGAATATTCCTGTCTTCTCGTTTCCCACTGTCTGACGCATACTCCAATCAGTCCACCACAATTAGGAATATCATGATAGAGGGGGTAATTTTACAAAGACCTCTAACTCCGGTCCAAAAAAGTCGAAAAATTGAATTTTAAAAACGCTTCCAAATGGTAGAGGCATGCTTGAAACGTGTTTTAGGGGTTTTGAGCCTGTTTAGGCTTCAAAAGCGCCAAGCTAGGCTGTCTTGCTTATAACCCCTAAAATCCTATAGTAAACACAGCACATAAGCTATATAGACGATATGAGTGAGCGTGAGTCAAATAGTTCTCATGACTCGCTGCTTATATGACTGTGTATGGTTTTCCATAGTCTTGGCAGACGTATAGAAGATATTTGCATGCTGAAATGGTTGGCAGGGATAACGATTTCATTGAATTTGGTGGCTGCTGGCTTCGTTTGTAGGGGTCTATTGTCACCATAACGTCGCTATGCATATAATAATAATATTATATATATATAATACGTTTGGCTAGTTTTTTAGATAAACTGGTTGATCCTGCCAGTAGTCATATGCTTGTCTCAGAGATTAAGTCATGCATGTCTACGTACATACCTTAAAACGGTGAAAGCGCGAATGGCTCATTAAATCAGCTATGGTTCCTTAGATCATATATACTACATGGATAACTAGTAATTCTAGAGCTAATACATGCAATTATGCCCTGACCCGCAAGGGAACGGGTGCATTTATTAGAACAGAACCAACCGGGGGCAGTTTCGGCTGTTTCTCTTGAATTCTGTGATAACTATGGATAACTTCAATGATAGCAGTCAGCCTTGTGTCTGCGACGGATCGTTCAAATGTCTGCCTTATCAATTTGTTGATAGGTGATCTGCCTACCATGATAATAACGCTTAGGTGAGTACTGATGAAGAGTCCCCAACCGGGACGAAACAAGTGTCCAGTACTCCCAGGTTTTTCAATGGTTCCCTAACTAATGTCAGCTCATGATGAAATCCTGTTACCAATCAAATCCCTACAAACCAACACTTGAACATTCAAAAAGCATTTCATCATTCATAAATTAACTTATCAGTGATATTTTACACTTGTAATATGACGTAATGAACGAAATCAAATGCTATTCAACAACTGCTTGCACTTACATATAGAGTTGGCAGCCAGCCAAATTTATTTTGTGAGGACTAATGATACTTACTACTACCTGGCTGAGCAAACCACCTCAGTACGTGTAGTGCAGTGCAGTTCAAACGCATACGCCTTTGATTGGAAGGCGGAGTTACAAGGTTGGACAATGATACAATGGTAATTTTAAGTAAGCTTAAGTGTTATCTAATAGCTCAAACACTTGATTACTAAAACTGTCATCAATTCAAACACCGATATCCTTGTATTTTCTTAGTGCACTTAATGAACAACTAGATTTAATTTATTTTCAAGATGACTAGGTTGGAACACCTTAGAGGAGGAAATAGCAGGAGAGTTCAAAAGCCAAGAAGAAACCATATTGCTGTGTGGAGTACTGGTTCTAACACCGAGTCATAAACTTACTTCTGGTTGTGTGTAACTGCATGTAGTTCCATCTACGGCTGAACTATTCTCTAGATTTCTTATCTTATTTGGGTCAACCAATCTAGATTTTGCTGCTAGGTTATTATGTTCGACTAGTCTGACTGACTGACCCTGTTCTACTACTTTGACCTGATAATCATTCCAGCAGGGTATTAGATAAACTAAATTGTTTTGTTTTAAAGGATCCACAAGATTGATCCTTCAACCCGCAAAGCTTGTTTCTAATTGAGTTTGTGGTTGGTTTGAATGCCAGCCACCTTTATTTCTGCCTTATTGAGAATCGTGCGTAAGGTGGTTTCCGAGGTTCCTTCCTTGTATGGAATTACTACCGATGATTTAGATTCCTTATTGTTGGTGTCATCATTAATATTATTATTATCATCATTATTATTATTATCACTATCGCTACCATTATTATTTATTTTTATATTTACCTACTAATTTATCCGGGTAATTATTAAGCTTCAAGGCTTCTTTTCAGTGTATCACTTCCTGTCTTAGATTTTCCTTGGTGCTACTTAGTTTTTGTGCTCTGTCATTTAAACATTTCACCAATCCTATTTTTACTGACATAGGATGGGATGATCGGAAGTCCAAATATCTGTTTAAATGTGTGGGTTTCCTGTAAACTCTAGTGTCTAACCTCCCATCTTCTTTCCTTTTTACACTGCAATGTAACATTGGAAGCTCCCTGACGTTCTGACTTTCCAATTCATAAGTGAATTGAATTGCTTCCAGCTTTGAGTTAATGTGTTCGTAAAATCTATCTATATCTTGTGTTCTAAATACAGTGAATGTGTCATCAACATACCTCCACCATATTTTTGGGGTGGAGGTGAATGTTTCAATCGCTATGTTTTCCCACCTATCCATGAATCTATCTGCTACAATCGGGGATATTGGTGATCCCATGGCAACTCCCTCAGTTTGTATGTATATTTTCCCTTGGAATTTGAATACTGCGGAAGTCAGGCATAGCTATACTCCCAGCATTATGTCCTCAACCATCTAATGTTACAAGGTGGAGGGAGAGATTGATAACAGAAGCTTTGTTTGTTCAATCAACTGCAAATACGTGTAATAGGAATGATTCAACACCTGTCCGTCCACATATCTGGAAAATTCTACGACGACAAATAGGAGAGAGTGGAGAAAACTATAAAACTCAAGTTTCGAAGTCGTGTGATTACAATTGATATGATTATGAACAATAATAAATTTTGCTCGAAACTGTGTTATCCAGTAAATGATACTATTTCAGTGACTGTGTGATACATCTAATAAACAAACTAATATGGAACTACTTACTACCACAGTGCCCAAGTTTTACACATATATTAAAATCATTCAGAATAATTTCTAACTGAATGGTATCTATAAACAACGTAGATGATCGCTGTTATTCACTTCACAAAACACGACTGTGATATGATCGATAGCTATTTACATAGTCATATGATATGACCAATAAATTAGAAGCTTAAAAAATATAAAACTGTGCTATGACT